CCGGCATCCTGTACTGTGGGCATCGTGACATGGTCCATTGAAAGGGATATCAGAGCGGCCCAACTCACGGAACCGGATCCTGGTACGGGACCCCGGAAATATATACAGATGGCTCAAAAAACACAAAGGGGTGGGTGGGAATAGGGGTTTATATTCCAGAGTTTGAAGTTTGTACATCTAAACGAATTTCTGATCATCTCTCAGTTTTCACAGCAGAAACGGTGGCAGTCATATTTAGTCTACAGTGGATAGAGGAAGTTAGACCGGACAGGGTGGTGATATGCACCGACTCAAAGGCTGTCACAGAAAGCATTCAGTCTAAAGGAAACAACAGGAAAGATCTACTTCTAGAAATACAGCTCACATTATTCAGGTTACACAGGGGAGGTATGGACGTTCAGTTGTGTTGGGTGCCAGCACATGAGGGGGTGGAAGGAAATGAAATACCAGATAAACTCGCTAAAAAAGCATTAAAAGGTGAAATAACAGTAAATATTCCATTAGGGAAAGGAGAGGGTAAATCATTAATTAAAGAAAAAGAAATAGAGAAATGTCAGAAAACGTGGAATGAGGACAAGAAAGGAAGAAGATTATATAAAATTCAAAAAGCAGTTAAGATAAGTAATTATAGAGAACGAAGTAGAAGAGAAGAGGTGATAGTAATGAGAATGAGGGTAGGACATACACTTCTAAATGATACAATGTATATGATGGGGAAAAGGAATAACAGTCGATGTGAGGAATGTGGGGAAACAGAAAGTGTGGAACATGTTCTGATGGAGTGCATTAAATATACAGAAGAAAGGGAGAGATTGAAAGAAAAAGTCAAAGAGGCAGGAGAGTATGGAGTTGAGGAGGAATATTAGGAACAGAAGGGAAGAAGGATAAAATAAGTAATGTTAGAAAAGAGTTGTTTATATATTTGCATAACATAAATATTAAAAATAGAATTTAGGGAAAGGAGGCCGTGAGTTACACACTCTTGCTCAGTAGGTGGCGGTATGCACCTGAACGTTGTTTGCAATCCGGCAATAAACTAAAAGAAGAAAAAGACAAAGTTACAAGTTTTATAACTATATTTATGGTCTGAGTTTAGAAAACACATAGGAAATGTCTGCAGTAGCCTTAACAGCTGGAGTAAATTTGGTTTTGATAAGAGTTTTACTCAACATAGTTTTCTTGCCAACTGTGGCACAAATGCTGCCGTGCAGGTATATCCACAACGTTTGTGTGCAATGTTCAAGACTCAGGGAAGATGTGGTTAAACTGTAATATTGTTTTATGAGTGAAATAATGATGCTAATGGCTGTAATTTTGTAAGACATAAGTCTAGTTAGATATGTATGATGCATAGATAATTTTGATTTATGTTTTCATAATGTTACATGTATGGTTTATACAAACCGGATTCCAAAAAAGTTGTGACACTAAACAAATTGTGAATAAAAACTGAATGCAATGATGTGGAGATGCCAACATCTAATATTTTATTCAGAATAGAACACAAATCACAGATCAAAAGTTTAAACAGAGAGAATGTATCATTTTAAGGGAAAAATCTGTTGTTTCCAAATTTCATGGCATCAACAAATCCCAAAAAAGTTGGGACAAATCCATTTTTACCACTGTGTGGCATCCCCCCTTCTTCTTACAACACTCAACAGACGTCTGGGGACAGAGGAGACCAGTTTCTCAAGTTTAGAAATAGGAATGCTCTCCCATTCATGTCTAATACAGGCCTCTAACTGTTCAATCGTCTTGGGCCTTCTTTGTCGCACCTTCCTCTTTATGATGCGCCAAATGTTCTCTATAGGTGAAAGATCTGGACTGCAGGCTGGCCATTTCAGTACCCGGATCCTTCTCCTACGTAGCCATGATGTTGTGATTGCTGCAGAATGTGGTCTGGCATTATCGTGTTGAAAAATGCAGGGTCTTCCCTGAAAGAGATGACGTCTAGATGGGAGCATATGTTGTTCTAGAACCTGAACATAGTTCTCTGCATTAATGGTGCCTTTCCAGACATGCAAGCTGCCCATGCGACAAGTGCTCATGCAACCCCATACCATCAGTGATGCAGGCTTCTGAACGGAGCAATGATAACAACTTGGGCTTGGTCCACGTCATCTGGACCAGAGAGGTCTGGTCCAGATGACGTGGCGTCCCAGTGTTCCATAAAGAACTTCAAATCGTGACTCATCTGACCACAGAACAGTCTTCCATTTTGCCACACTCCATTTTAAATGACCCCTGGCCCAGTGCAAACGTCTGAGCTTGTGGAGCTTGCTTAGAAACGGCTTCCTCTTTGCACTGTAGAGTTTCAGCTGGCAACGGCGGATGGCACGGTGGATTGTGTTCACTGACAATGCTTTCTGGAAGTATTCCTGAGCCCATTCTGTTATTTCCTTGACAGTGGCATTCCTGTTTGAGGTGCAGTGACGTTTAAGGGCCCAGAGATCACGAGCATCCAGTAGAGTTTTACGGCCTTGACCCTTACGCACAGCGATTGTTCCAGATTCTCTGAATCTTTTGATGATGTTATGCACGGTTGATGATGATAACTTAAAAGTCTTTGCTATTTTACGCTGGGTAACACCATTCTGGTATTGCTGCACTATCTTTCTGCGCAACAATGGTGGAATTGGTGATCCTCTTACCATCTTGGCTTCTGAGAGACACTGACACTCTGAGAAGCTCTTTTTATACCCAATCATGTTGTCAATTGACCTAATTAGTGTTAATTGGTCTTCCAGCTGTTCGTTATATGCTCAATTTCCTTTTTCCAGCCACGTATTGCTACTTGTCCCAACTTTTTTGGGATTTGTTGACACTGTGAAATTTTGAATCAACATAGTTTTCCTTTAAAATGTTACATTTACTCAGATTAAACTTTTGATCTGTCATCTATGTTATATTACAAATAAAATATTGACATTTGCCGTCTCCACATCATTGCATTCAGTTTTTATTCACAATTTGTTTAGTGTCCCAACTTTTTTGGAATTTGGTTTGTATATGATGCTGTAGTTGTGTAGTCTGCTGCTCATGCTGAAGATATATATCAAGTTTTGATTTGTGTTGGCACAAAGACATCTTGAGCAATTAATGCTGTGTGGTTCAATGTTTATTTTTGTAACTGAATTACATTTTTTATATGACAATGTTATACTGAAAACTGTTCTTGAAACAACATTACAACACTGGACATGACAGAAGTAACACCATGTCTTTGTCTGTTTCACCTTTCCCCTTTACAGGGGTATAACATCTGGAATGTGGAGAATGTGCCGAGCTTGGCAACACTCAGACTATGTGCGAGCTATATGTGGTGTTGTATCAAGCCGAGCAGGCTGATCCTTATCAGGAATGTGGAACTTTCTGGCAGTGTTCACGAACGGTTGTTAGGAATAAATTTTGGAGAAGTTGTAAGCCCGACTTAGCATAAGTAATCAAATTTGGCTGTTTTGGAGTCGCCATGAGTGAATTTACTAGTGAGACTGGAAGACACAGAAATTTATGAGTTTGGTTGAACCCAAATCAATGTTGATATCTGAATCTGGACCTGGCCTCAGAAGGCAGACTATCTCAATTTCTCCTTGGATGTTAAGGAAACAAAGACCCTCTGTCACCCTCTCCACCCCCTCCTTTCCCTGAGGCTGTGGACATGTGACAGAGCTCAATCAAGTTGGCTGATAAACAAACATCTCTTATCAGGACTATGGCGGGGGGGTTCTGGACTGTGCTATGCTACGACCTTCCCTAAAACTCAATGCCTCCACTGATCTCACTCGCCTCCCCTGGCGCAGCAACTAGGAGATACAAAGGCACCAAGGGTTGCATTGCCCACCTGGCGGCCGTGCTGGGACCCCCACCCCCTACCCACTCCACACGCATATGAATTATGTCTATTTATACTGCTTTGGTGTGGTAGATTTTTTTTGACGCCTCAAACTGTGCCCTGTCAAGGACACGGTGTGAGAGATCTTTTTTTATACCTCTCTCCTTATGTTTTCTTCCCCTTTTCTTATCTAAGCAACAGGGGCAGAATGTCTTAGAAGCTGCAGCCCCCTGTACACTTCTGTTGTTCTTTAGGATGTACAGAAAGTAATTTTGTTGTACTTCACTGTGCAAGGATAATTAAATCTTTCTGATTCTGAAATGTTTTACAGCAGAAGTCTTTCTTGACCCAACCATCAGCAGCCTTAGGTTTATGAGACCATGGCACTGACCACCAAGAAACTGCACTCCCAAAATCATCTTGATTACAGTGCTTACAAAAAGTAATTACACCCTTGGATGTTTTATGCTTTTATTAAAATCATAAATGAATCATGGTCCATGTAAATTTACATTCTTTACAAATAAATAAATGCAATTCCAATTTAATTTAGAGATTATTGAAAAAAGTACAAGTCAGGGAATGGGCTCAAAATGATTTCCAAGACCATACATTTCCCCAGGAGTTCTGCTAAATCCATCAAGAAATGGAAGGAATATTGGGAGATGTGTAAATCTACCAAAAGCCTCACAAACTGTGTATCCATTTGAGAAGAGAAAAGTAAGAGACCACCAAAACACCTGTGAGCACTCTGAAGGAGTTACAAGCTTCGGCTGGTGAGACGGGACAGACTGAGTTTACAGCAACTGTCGCCCGAGTTCTTCACCAGTCTAATCTTTATGAGTTAGTGGCAAAGTGAAAACCAATATTGAAGAAAACTCATTAAATCTAAATTAGCATTTGTTTGTTTAGGTACTAGTTGAGATTTAGGATGAGTTTTCTAGTAAATACTGATTCAGTGTGATCTGAAGTGTAAATTTACAAATATATGTATATTTCAACTTTGTGTAATTAGCAGGCTTTGACACAAATCTAATAAATGTTTTTAGATGACTTGAATAAAAATAAAATTGTAAAATTCATGCAAATATATTAGTAAAATTGTATTTTCACATAATAATCATAGCACATCAAATTCTGCAGTAAGCAGCTTAACAGTTTTATATTTTTTACCATCTTATTTCCGACATACTGTAGTAGACTTTTTTTTACATTTGTGTCAATCGTTCATCCTCTGAGAACATTGTGTTATAAACTCCCTCACTCGTAGAGCCGTTTTCCACAGTCTTCACCCTCGTCTGCTCATCATCCTCTGCATTCTTCTTGCTGGAATTAGAGCTCAGTTATTGAATCGTTTCACAACAAAAACTCTGACCTGATCACTGTCGACAACTCACCGTTTCTTTTCAACCACAGTGGACACGAGCAGAAAGACGATGCCGGCACCGACCAGACCTATCACCACCCCGAACACAATGAGCCATGGAGGGGTGTCAGGCTCCACAGGGGATGCCAGGGTGGGATTGATGCCAACAAACTCCAGAGTGGAATCAGAGAGCTGGAACGCACTGTTGATACGATGTCTGGACATTCTGATAAAGAAAGATTCAAAAAGATTATTCAAGAAAGAACAACTTTGTTTAGTGCAACATTTATTTGTTAAACTACAAAAACGAGGGGGGCATAAGATGGCAGTGATTCGGTAAACCGTGTTCTGCCAGGCTCCCGTCGGCCCTGCTTAGAAAGTTGCCTTTTATAAATATATTCTTGCTGCTTCTGCATGGAATTCTTTGTCTGATATGGGCATTGTTGCAGGATTGCTTTAACGGAGCTGTAATATAGCCTCTAAAAATACTAAAAGGGCATGGTCTTTGTCTGCGCAGCCTGTGAACACAGCTACAGCCTTGGACCACAGTGATGCAGGAGCAGCAGGTGGAGCAGCAAGTGCATCGGCCCCGCCCTCGTTGGGCTCTGGAGAGACAGTCTAGCCGGCTCTGAAGTCGGACATTCTGGCTTCAATTAAATATGAAGTCACAACAATAATTAGGATAGAGATGAAGGCAGCTTTGACGGATGATTTTAATTTTATTAAGAAGAAGCTGTAGGCGGTGAGAGCAGATTGCTGGAGCCACTGCGGCACTCAGAGCAGAGTTTGACCAAGTTAAGCTAAGCGTTACAGAAGCTGTATATGCTCAGAGGAGGTGGAGGCTCTATGTGGGACCGTGGTGGAATTGAAAAATGAGGTGGATGGGCTGAAAAAAAGGCTTGAATCCGTGGAAGGGAATATGAAATGGAACAATATTAGGATTATTGGAGTTCCTGAATCACCGATTTTGTGCACCCCTAAAGTGATAACCATGTGCTAAGAGGTGCTGAAGCTGGACAAGTCACCGCTGATTGACCACGAGCACTGGACACTGGGCAGGAGCGATTCGGATAATAAATCAAGAGTTATCATGGCAGGCTGCATTATTATCAAGACTGTGGAGATATTACAATGAGCACATAGCAGTGTCCCAATCCACTTCAAAGAATCATCCATATTAATTACAGTTGATTATACACCGAGCGTGGCAAAGGCACGAGTGGCGTTCACGGAGGTGAGGCGACTCCTGCGGAATGGACCAGGTGTCCGGTATAGATTTCTTTTTCCTGCACGGCTTCGCATCACACATGGAGGGATGAAAAAGGTGTTTGTCGACTCCGATAAAGCAATGGAATACGTCAAAAGGAAGGTAAAGAGATTTAAGATGGCGCCAGTGTATAGGGCTTGCCGTCCCTTGCTCTCTGTTTTTCTTCTATTTTTGTTATTTTTACAATGCTTTGTGCAGTGTACCGAATCATATTTGCAATATGATCGTCGGACACTTTTGGAGCTCCGTAGCTTTGCTGAAATGCCTGCGGAGTTTTTGGTACAGCGGTCAGCACTGTCCTCCACTGGTTCTGTCTGAGATTCCTGCATTTCTTCTACGTGACCCTAGCCTTTCTCCCTGGAGGAAACGTCACAGATGTCATGGGAAGTGTGCAGGGGGTTTGGTGAACCTAAGACACCGTATGGATTATTCTGTCAAGAGTTGTAGGGCTAGCTCTGGATCTGATCATAGCCTTTCAGACCCATGGTGCTTCAGGGACCCTGCTGCTGGCCAGTTACCCATGCACTCAGTCCATGTAAAGAACTGCAGTTGTTTACCTGATCGCCACACAAACTGACCAGGAGGTGCTGTTCTTCAAAATCTGCGGCCGCTGGCGCACGCTCCCCCAACTACGGCTGTGTCTGCGTTGGACCCTATCAGGATGTGTTTGATCAATGTAAGATCTGTTTTCAACAAGACTTTTACCATACCATACCAATTTATTTATAGAGCACTTAAAACAGCAACAAGGCCAACCAAAGTGCTGTACAAAAGAAAACAAACATGCACAGCAGACAGGAAAACATAAAATAGAAATACAGATACAAATAGCAGCAGAAGCTAACTAAAATGGCCAACAGTGTAGAGTACAGACCGGACCAAAACAAATCACAACGTGGTAAAGGCAAGAGAATAGAAGTGGGTCTTCAAGCGAGACTTAAAGACAGAGAGTGTGGGAGCCTGCCGGACACTCAGTGGCAACTCATTCCACAGTCGTGGACCTGCAACAGAGAAAGCCCTGTCACCTCTGAGCTTACGACGGGTTTCTGGGACTGAGAGAAGAATCTGGTCTGCTGACCTCAGAGAGCGCGGTGGGACATATGGCTGCAGAAGATCAGTGAGATAGGACTTTTATCCTCAATGACTTTTTTAAAGACAAACAGTTAGATTTTCTCTACGTCACAAAATCTTGGATATCTGATGGTGAGTCCAGCACCTTGGTGGAATTATTACCTCCGGACTGTCTGTGTTTTAATGCCCACGGCCATCAGGCAAGTGCGGTGGTGAATTATAAACTGTCTTTAAACCAAATTTTTCCCTGTAAACAGTTGGCCATCCCGGTTTCCTGCTCCAGCTTTGAGCTGAGCGTCTTTGAACTCTGACATTCTCCTCTGGTTCTGTGCATACTCGTTTACTGCCCCACTCGATCCAAGGATTTCATAAGTAAATGGTAAATGGACTGTACTTATATAGCGCCTTTCTATCTGATCAAGATACTCAAAGCGCTTTACAACACAATTTGTGCCTCATTTACCCATTCATACAGCACTCTACTAGATCTTTACAAAGATAATTGAACAAATCATTCTAAAGAGACTAATCAGTGCTTTATCACATTCATACACTGATGGGACACACATCAGAGGCTATGAGGGGTTCAGTGTCTTGCCCAGGGACACTTAGCATGTGACTGCTGGTGGATTTTGATGTGGTCCCCCCTCAACTACTAAAAAGAGGTTTTTCCTACTCTGGATCCTTCTATGCTCGCTATTGTGAATAGCAGTTTATCCTCAGGTGTGGTGCCAAAAATTTTTAAACATGCTGCTGTCCAGTCTGTCCTGGAATAACCTAACCGTGGCCACTCAGTCATGTCCAACTACAGGCCTATCTCCAGACTCCCATTCACCTATAAACTACTGGAACAAATAGTTGAGTCTCAGTTGAAATGTTTATTGGAGGATCACGCTATCCTAGAGTTATTCCAATCTGGCTTCAAATCTCTCCACAGCACTGAAACTGCTCTACTGGTGCCCAACATTTTTCAGTCAGGTCAACTGGACAGTTTCTTTTTTGTGTGCTGAAACGTTTTGCCTTCGATCCAGAAGGCTTCATCAGTCAAGGAAACACACAACTCATTCTTCCCCCAACAGCTTACGCCAAAATGGAACAAACCAGTTCTGCTTGTGATAAGATGGTCTCTTTGGTAGGCCCCTCTTCCATTTCCGGCCCTCTTCTTTGTTGACAGTCTTGTCAAACTCCAGTCAGTCATCAGGTGAAAAGGAGGAACCCAGACCCAGACCAGTGGTCATTCTGTATGTTGCAGGAGTATCAGAGAAACTGAGACATTTATTTTCTAAACACAACGTCCCAGTGGCTTTTAAACCCCAAAATACATTACAGCAAAGACTGGTTCATCCCAAAGATCCAGTCCCCCGGCACAGACAGAGTAATATTGTGTATGCTGTTCAGTGTCAGGATGGTGATCAGTCTTACATTGGGGAAACTAAACAGTCACTGGCCAAAAGGATGGACTAGCACAGAAGATCAACATCATCAGGCCAGGATTCTGCGGTCTACACTCATCTCCAGGCCAGCGGTCACTCTTTCAAGGATGAAGATGTTCACATCCTGGACAGAGAGGAACGATGGTTTGAGAAAGGAGTAAAGGAGGCCATCTTTGTGAAAAGAAACCGTCCATCATTAAACAATGATGGAGGCCTCCGTGTTCAACTTTGTTTTTGTACAGAACTTGCCATGTGCAGTTGGCAAGATGGTGCCAGTATGTGTGGCAGTCTGTCTGTTGCTCTTGGTTTGGTTAGTTTTATTTCTCTGTTTTGTGCTCAGCACTAGCACTAAGTCTGTGCTTGTGTACAATCGCTAGTCCCTCCTGGATATTCAACATGTTGTTGGCAATCTCAGTGCCTTTGATTATGGTGGACAAAAAACTTTACCCCCGCTCTTGTCAGGAGTCCCGGCTCATCCTCATCTCCGTCGGGCACCTGCGATCCCCCCCCCCCCCCCCCCATGCCTGGCGGAAACGTTGTTGTTATCGCGGTAAACATGGAGGACAG